TCAGATCACTTAGAATGTTATCACTTATAAAACTCTTGAAATTATCCTGACAACTTCAAGTCGTTAAGGTGTAGCAACTTGTCAAATCTGACTAGTACGTTTCTGTACAATGCTTTCATTCATTCATCTATTCACCCAACATCAACCAATCTGTGAATGCAAATAAAATGAGAATATAATTAACAGGATTTTAAATTAGCAATGTTGGTCAAAAATACAGCATTCTGTTCATAAACAAATTAACTTTTGGATCACATCTACGATGTTTGAATTTGAATGTTCCAATCAAGAGTACTATCATCTTGTCCCATGACCAGTAATACAGGTCATCCAATAGCCCAAAATGTCAACTTTGCTATCTAATACCCACGTCAATGACAAAGTTTATCACAATCCCTAAACCATCGAACTCCACAAATTACTAAGTTTGTATTGAATAATATCTATAAACACTTCAAATTAACAGACAATAGGTTTCTATGAACACTTGTAGGTGGTATGATCATCATCAGTCGTACAAATGTTGACCTGTATCACTATAATCCAAAATCTAATACGATATTTTATACACGTTTCTTAAGTTTGACTAGCCTAAACATATTAGAAAAACCAGATAAACTTTAAAGGAAAGTATATTATGTTGCAAACATCGTGCACAAAACTAAAAGCTAGACTAGATTATTATCAACTAAATTTGCTGCATCTAGCAGTGGAATCCAGAACACACGTCTTTGCCGTTTTGTAATCTGTCGGTTGAAGTTACTTTCATCCATATTGAGGTTTGAAGAACAAGTCACATGGCTGATATTAGAGGGCTTTACTATCTTCAGATAACCAACATATACAGCCGAGCTGCATTATCACGGCAGAAGGGAGGGGCTGATAGAGGTAGACACTGAATATTTCACACCTCACTCACATTTATGAAAGTGACAACAGCCCTCTTACCTTACCTCCAACTGCACCCGAGATTATTGTGTTGACGATCCGATCCCTCCTTCATATTTGATTAACCCTCCTATTCCCACAGCTAACTCTTCTCGCACAATTTTTTCCATCAGTGCTAAGGATTCGAAATTACTAAGCATTAGTCCTGGTCTCCTGAAACCACTCCAAAAAACATGTTGGTGCATTTAACGTTCGGACCTTGGTGTGATAAATCGACGAAAGATAGAGCAACACCCTGTCACCTCTTTTTTATCTCTACCCACACTCTCGCTTATTGCAGTTTGGAAAAGTTAAATTCCCTTATATGGTCATGTTATCGCGTGGTATTGATCCCCAAACAGTTAGACTGAACCAAAGAGACCTGGATGGATATTATAGTATTGAGTTCAGCAAACAGATAATGGTTACCGTCTACTGCAACTATGCACAGATGATCGTCCATTTCTAGCAAGGCTTAACTTAACCGCCTTATGTGGCAACCTTCACAATCAACTCATCGATGGACTCAAATAAATCACGTTGTCATTAGCCATCTCTGGAGAGGCTGGATTAAAAACAGTCGCTCAATCCGAGGTGCATTTTTATACTCGGATCATTCACCAGTCCGAGCATGTATCTATAAGCATCTTATTGGGCTTAGAAAAGCTACGAACTAGCAACCTCCTAATGTCCAGCTCAATGACAACAAATATAAGGATAAGTAGCTGTGTATTATTCGATTTGACGATAAATTTGCCTTTGTATTTGCTTGCATACACGCATTCACCTCTCTGCTTCAATTTCGCTCGATGCGCTTGTAGCTTCGTTATCCGTACTATCCGCTGATAAACTGTAGTCGCCACTTCTTATTGCATTCTGATTTCAATCACCATTGGAATTTATATGATAACAGTTACAAAGGTGATTGATTACCAAAACAAATCCACTACACTTTTTTATGGGTATGAAACATGACCATTAGAAATAATGCATATTTGTTGATCACTAGTATTCGACCATAACTGTTTTCAAGGCACTGCTTGTGAATTTTTGGATCACGGAGTGATCAAAACCTAGGTATAGAATTAGCGTACTAACGAAGAATGGCAAACCGATTGATGAGGTAGTAATTTTCATCAAATGAGATAAATGTAACATGTGTTACGTATGTCCAGCCACCGTCTGTATTTGCAGATGGTTTTGTCGGATGTATGATAGGCTGTAAGAAAATTAGGGGCGGCCAAAACAAAACATATCATCAGTTCATGAAGTCGTGGACAATTGAATTGAGCAATGTTAATAGGTGTAGACTGCCCAGTTCGTTTTGACGTGACCATCATAATCGATGATATGAGACTTTGAATGATGTGGCTAAATATCGTTTGCAAGGTCACAGGTGCATCGATTCTTTATCTCCGTCAAAATTCTAAACTTCTGATGATTTCATAGCATCTCACAGCGTTTTGATTTACTTGCTTTTGTTTTCTTAAATAATGTCTTCAATGCTTAAACTTTCCTTTTACCACTAACGCTATTACTACCTATACTATCATGTAATTCGACCTGACAATTTGATCTCTTCATGGTATGAAGTATGTCAACTTGAAACGATGTACACACGTATCAGGTTCTACGTTGCGACTGACTAACTGATCATCAATATCTAGTTGAAATATAAAAGTAAATTACTGTTTAAGATACATGATATGACTATAGGCAGCTCTCTGGTAACATATTCTTTGAAAACTTAGAAAGAACACAATTAACTCCTATTATCTGTGAGATCGTGCTCTTTGGAAGATACGTTCATGTGTGATACAGGTAATTACTGTCTGTGAAAAAATGGATATTCTCAGTGATTTTTAAAGAAACAGACTACTGAATATGGAGATAAGTCGAAAGCTTATAAACCTGAAAATAAGTAAATTTTTGTTTGATTTTCATTCAAAGTTGATCAAATAATGAGTACTTATTTACTTACACCTGTTACTCCTAATGGATCATAGGCCGCCGACCAGCAATCTCCAACCCACTCTTTCCTGGGCCTTCTTTTCTAGTTCCATCCAATTCTTGTTCATTTTTCTCATGTCTATCTCCATTTTTCCAGCATTGTACGAGCATCCCATGTACTTAAATAAATGGTTGCTCGGGTTGTCAGAAGTGGTATCGGTCTCGTGACTTCCGAAGGAACTCGGCTTTGATCACGCGGCTTCATAATCCTTCTAAACGAAGACCTTCCGACCCCCAGGGCAGAGTTTAAATGGTTTGAATATTTTTTTCTGGTTAGCGTTTTTTTGGCGAGTTAGTTTTCTACGGGATGGAGTCGCTAACCCCATGACCAACTCTCCGCCTTTATCCGGGCTTGGGACCGGCAGTGGCCCCCGGAGGGACTCCAGGCGGAGTTAATGAGTATAACTAAATAGAGGTAAAATGTAACTTTTTAAAGCACCTCCTCTATGAAACCGATTCCACAATACACAATACGATATTCAATAGTACAGACAAAATTAGATAAGCATTCATCGTATATCACCTCTAATTGAATATATCAGTTTACATTAACATCCACCTTGAAATAATAGTAAAACAGAATTCAGCTCGTTTCAACAAGCATATTCTACATAATCTACGATGAAATATAGTTGATAAATCGTATTCTACATATATTGGTGAATAAAACCGATTTTATTGCATACTTCAATGGTTAAGATCATGAGTCAGTTGAAGCTAGACCACCATGGAAAATCTGTAAGCACTGGACGGTCGTTTCGTCTTATTATAGGACTCCTCAACAGCGCGAATCCACTACCTCGCCTCCTGCGAGATTCGAACATATGGATCAATTGGAGTTAACATTATCTCATGTAACTATAAAGGAAGAACGGATTTGTAGAACGAGCAATAGAAAAACAATAAGATAATAAGAGTTATGTCTATGTCATGGAATGTGTTACACAATAAGCGATTATCTACTATCAACCATCTCGCACAGTGACTGATTTTGATAACGCATTATTATCCCTATCTTCGTGGTGATATTCGAAGATACTAGTCTAGACAGTGATAATCGATGTACTTAAAGTTGATGAATGCTGAAAATAAACAGTTTTGTGACTACAGTTGAATTAGCCGATCATTAACATCTGTTCGTTGATTCAACAGGGCAAAAAGATAACTGGGGTTTCCTAACCCATTTGTGCGTTAGAGTCAGCTGTAATATTTATAACATCTGAGTGAATAGTTATGGGAAAGATTTGAAAGTCTTCAGTATACTTCATTGTTTCTTTCATGAGAGTCGGTATCATTGAGAGTAAACGGAGAGATTGCAATGAGGAAATACCATGAACTCCAACCATTCTCATTTACTGATTTTCCATTTAATCGAACAACAGACAAAACACTGTAGATTCAAGTCTACTCTAGAATCATCTACCGTATGCGGAATGGCGATGCGTGCCAGTTGTCAATACCACATAAAGATATTTCATGAAGGATATAAAAAATAAATCGGATCAGAAATTGCAAGGGATTAACATATCTTCTCCTAGTTTCTATTGCAGGATTGTCGTAATCTGAGGCTTGTGTTATTGCTAGCTATTGTCCACTGCTTTCTTTACCAAATGTGAATTAATTGTGTGAACTTGCTATCTTATCGGCTCACATTTTCTTTTGCTCAATTTCCTAGCCCTACGCGCTTCTCTATTACACAAAGTACTTCGTAGTTAGACGAGAAACGCTACATCCATAAGTTCCAGTCGATCTTTAAGAGTAACCAGACGATCTGATCAAAAACAAACCGATTATTATGCACTAAGCAAATAAGGTTAACACACATTTGAACAGCGGGAACGAGATCTCGGATCGTGAATATTCAACGCCAACTCTAACTACCGAAATGCTTAAAAGAACAAATAAGTTTACCTCTAGAGATCACTCTTACCTCCTACGATCTATGTGGTATACCTAAAGCAAACAACACATTAACTGAATAATAAAATTACATTTACTGCAAAGCATTTGAAATTAACTAAAAAGATAAATAATGTACATAGCTGAATCAGTATTCCACTTCATTAAAACCAAATTCCTCTTGGCAGATTACCGACTAGAAGGTTAAACTCAAGCTGACTAGGAAAGTACCAATAGTTTCCTGTAACACATTCACTGAATATCATTATATAATCATTTATCTTGTCATCACTATAACCAGTCATTCGATCCAGCATGAAATCGAAATTCTCTGTATCTGCTGCGTATGCTATGAATAGGAGACCAGCACCTCCAGATAGAGTTCCATATGGTTGAGATTGTCGAACAATTTTATATTTCTTCTTAGCTTTGAAATCATCAGCTGCCAGCGTGAGATGAATACAACAGTTATTGACAATTATAATGAAACATCAAAACAGAGTTTACTCTATTCAACACACGAGATGTGAATGCCAAATAATAAAATACTATGTTTTTAGTATGAGAACACAAATCCAAATCGATGGAATAGAGATTGCTCAGATACAGGTTCACGACGGAACCATTCATAAACCAGAGGAAATCGTCAATATATGTCACATTCAAGTGTGGAAGAGAATACTAACTTATCCAACATTGGGACAGATCAGTAGGAATTCAGTGTTAGGTAAAACAGACTAATGGTATGCAAACAGATTTCTACATACTTCATTCAAAAATGATACATTACTAAGATTACCATACTTGCTGCAAAAGTCAACCAATTATTAGTTTGGTTTCAGAAATATGAACCGCTGAATGAAAAGCACTGGACAAATCCAGAAACTAACTGATATTCAATTCACTCTCTCCTTGGCATATTAGTGAATACGAACTACTAATGAACCTCATATGTAGATGAAGCATCTCTCAATAGCAATCTGCAGTTTAAGTATAGGTACAACTTGACTGAACAACTAAAGAATTTCTGTAAAATTTTTTATGAAGTAATGAAACATGTTAAAGTTACTGCTTACATCCAACCATTCTGGCAACATGTGATGTATTCGGTTTTCTTATCAACTCAAGACTGCCTTTCATAGTTCTACCAATCCATTTTTCTTTTGTCTCATCTACAAAACAAAATATGTGAAAACAAACTCTCAAGACAACTGCTGTGATCATCATTTCTTGAATATAACTTGAAGAGTGAATACACTTGAATGATTCTACTTCTTATATCCATAAAAGGTTAAAGATCCACTATTCTGCTGATTTACAAGTGTTAATGTATCACAGTTTGGCATTATTTTAGCGTTTATTATGAGTCTTGTTTCAGTACCATCTACAGTATACACAATCAGGAAGTCACGTTTATTGAGGACACAATCACCGATGGGATTATCCTTGTTTAGAATTAGTCACACGAACCAACTAAAATTGTAATCAACAACCAAAACACATCGTTACGCAAATCAAAACTGATCTATTCTTACATTTGGCATGGTTGTGAATACACATATGACTGCTTAATTAGATAACCAACCGGCGTTGATGAATCATGCATACAATGCCACAATTACATACGAATGAATAGTAAACATTATTTACAAAAGCAGCTTAAGAGTCAAACTGCTTGTTTGAAACTACACAGTTCATCACTACTCCAGATCACTAAACATACATTTTATGATCAATTAAATAAAGTAGTCATCTATCAAGTGACAACATCTTACTTACAGTATTTCTATCACAAAGCTGTCGATGATTACTCACGAATACTTATCTCAGTTGACTTTTTGGTTAAAAGGTATATAGAATCTAAAGACATCTAAGGATTTCTGTGGGGATCTAAACTGCATTATCAATCATCAAAACCAACTGGATATACAATGACAATAGTTAATCTAAGCCGACTAGCCATAAAGAAGAATAAACGCAGACTGGATGGCTCATTCAACGTAAACTGAAAACAGAAATTTTAATCGATCAACCATAGACGATTACTATGCATTCAAAAGAATATCTCTTACCAGCTGTCTTCTGGAGCAAACTCATATTGTGAACCCACTTCTGAACAACGGCGTAACTTCCACCTGTTAGCTTGTTGATCGCCACCTCCGCTCGTTCATTCAAGATTTTAGGGTTCTCCGTGCCTCATTACATAATAGAATACATATTAAAATGTTAAAATTATGTTGTATCAAAACTAGTTTTCATTATACGTATTATGTGAAACGTTGACCAAACATTTTCATCACTACTAATGTATCTTGATCACACAAGTGGTTGTCGTGGTCTAATCGATTTCAACATGTGAGTAGATGAAAGCTAGTTAGCACATGTTTCACTAACTTAATAACACTTTACATAAACCTAGTACCAATGGTTCATAACCAAACTCATTATTCATTCAAACCGAAACTCGTTTCTTATTGGTTTTGTCAAGGAATATTTTTAACAGCGCACTATGGAAATCATGAAAGAATTAATGAGAGCTTGATAGTTATATTACTCATTTTCGTAGAATATTCGTCGATTTTACACCAAGCAACTAATCCGAATTAAATAAGCAAGTTTAATGTTTCCAACCACGATCATACAACCTCATTACAAAGGAACATCCCTTTGACTGATTTTCATAGCGATTCTCAAAACAAGATTCTGCAACACCATAGGTATGACATTTAGTCAATTTACTTCCAATGAAGTGAACCGTTCAAATGTTTTCATTTGTGAGGAAGATACTGAAAACCGTTAGGAAGGTTTGGTAGATTTCTGATTATTCGACAAAGCAACTTTCGAACAGAACATACATATTCAAGAGAGCAGTAATTTTTTAGTGCTCTTAATGAGCTGAAAACTAGACTCAATTGTTAAACACTCTGTAGTTTACAACAATATTTTGATGAACATAAATGAATACATTATTTATACAAGCAACGGATTCTGTACTCAGCTCCAGGTTAAACATCTTTACATACACAACTACAACACAATCCAATCACTAACATGAAACTACAATTTACTTATCTACATACCATCAATGAATTCACTCAAATCACGCCCATCGCGATAAGTCCAACCGTAAATATCTTCAAATTTATCCACACATCCACACGGCATATTCTGAACAATGGATTTCGCCAAATCAAACAACATGCCATGAACATTACACTTTGCATGGACAAATATGTCACCACCTACAACATTAATAAAACAGTTGTTCCAGAGTGAAATTTAGAACTATCCAGTTAATGAACAGTATGTTCCAAAACACCTATCTACTCAACTCACATGTGATTACATTACAAAAATACAAATCACAACCAACACCCAGTCAAAGTTGCATCAAAACCATACGAATTGCTTAAAAACCCTACACAGTTGAATTAGGACTATTTTACTCACTTGAATTATGACAATAAATCCTGAAAACTAGCAATTAAGTATAAGTGAACTCACAAGTTTTAGGCAGTTTACCATACTTTTCAGATCTTTCACGATATTCATAGTTTTTGACACCCCTGTATCGGAAACCAGGACTGATTTTTCTGAAATATTCGATTCCGAAACCGACACCGTATAGAATCTCATTATATCTTCGACAAATATTACTTGGACAAATCTGACTAATATATTTCTACAACCAATGAATAAAGCATACACAGCATGTTGGTTAAGCACTTTATTGAATCAAAAATGAACACGAAGCTTGAAATATGTGCAGTAGAATTTCAGTATTCAAACGATTATTGTGTGCAAATTTCTTTATACATGCAAAACATTCATATTCTAATTACTTTTCAGACAGGCTTAGGATAAGCCTAACACAACAAAGTCGGTTATTCTCAATTACCATGTTTTACAGCCTAACTTTATGGTCCTCAAACCATGTTCAAACAAATGAGCATTTTTATTACGTTTCATCATTAGCATCAATAATGATAATTGATGTCTTAAAAAGAAACGCGTTTAGTGTAATATAAGTAATATGATGACAGTACGGTGTCGAACAGATACACTAATAAGGTTAACATTCAATCTGAATCTACTTATGCAGATTTTATATTGTTTCGTTTCGTATCCTTTACAACGTCAGCGAGATAACACAAGTTTCCAATGCAGTTATGATCGGTCCCAAGTCATATCAACTGCGAAACGGCGGAAGTACATTCTTTGATGACTTACGCTGCAATCAACACTTGCATCAGATGGAGTATCAAAGGCGGGGATGAAACAAGCATGTAATCATCACAATTTCCTACATTTCATTTTATAATACATATACCTTGTTTGCTAACTGACCACTACGTTACACGCTTGCCATATTATACGATATTTTAATCTCACTCTTATCCTGTCGGCCACATTTTTGCATTATGTGCTCATGTCTCAAATCAAGCTGGAATAGGTAACAGAACATAGTTGGAAACCATAGCAAATAATTTATATCTACATATAAACAGAATCGCCTGTACACAACTTGTGCATGAAATCGAAAAGATTCAAAATCATCGAAAGCACCTCGATTCTTCTAATGGATCTCAAACATTCTCGAGATGCGTTGGAATTCAAGTGGATTGTCAGATATAAAGCATGAGATTTATTATCACTAAGATCCTGACAAAATACAATGTTTAGTAAACGTGATCGTTTTCCGATTGTTGAGGGGCAATGTGAAGGAGATTTGGGCGAGACTCTAATTTAGGGACGAGCCAATCAGAAGGGTTTGAGCCATTTCAATGTCACGGAGCCAAGTTTAACGCATGATGCTGACATACGATCGGTTTACGGCGGATTTTAGAGAAGAGGTTATTATTGAAAGGCTACAAGAGATGGGACTACTACGGAGTTCTTGTGTGTGTGACTGCGGTTCTTAAATGACTGCAATTAAGTCTGAAGACCACCACGGCGAGATTATGTTCCGTTGTCCTTCATGTTGGGGGAAAAGTCGGCTAGAACAGGGACTTTCTTTGCTCCATCGCGACTGAGATTGAGACAAATCATGATAATAGTTGCTAATTGGGTTATAAAGACGTAAGTCACACTGGCTGCGGCTTTCGCAGATGTTACCGAAACCTCAGCAGTCCAGTGGTATGAATACTGCCGTGATATATGCGCAGCTAAAATGACTAGCATACACCAATTATTTGGAGGAGTAGGACTTATCGTAGAGATAGATGAAACGGTTGTGAGAAAGAGAAAATACAACTAGTGACGTAGTGTGAAAGAAGATTGGGTAAGTAGCATTTTCGTAAATATGCTTAACAGGTACTTGGTATTTATGATAGATCAAGTCGTAAGGGACATTTCCAGAAAGTCACAAACCGTCAAGCAGGAAAAATAATACCAATCATACAGGAATATGTGCTGCCTGGTACCACGATATATACGGATGACTGGAGAGCATATAGATGTCTTCATCGACATGGATACGACCACCACGTAGTAGTCCACAAACGTAATTTCGTTGACCCAACAACCGACGTTCATACGAACAACATTGAAGCCATGTGGTCACGATTAAAGGAATTTTTAAGACCACATCACGGCTCCAGAGGTCGACTATTATGGAGCCATATGGATGAATTTTTATACCGTATGCAATATGATTTTAAAACATCTGAACCTTTATCAAATCTTAACAAGTTTTTAAATCATATAAAAGAAGTAGATCCACTGTAATCCTTTAGCTTCTTTTAATATATTTTTACTTTATACTAACTGTCTTCTGATTGGCTAATATTCTCAAGGTCACTTAAGATTCGTTCAAAGTTCGTCCCTAAGTTAGAGTCTCGCCGAGATTTGCAGTTGCAAAGTTTGGTTTTCCGTTTGGAAAAATGAAATTTATATTGCAACTGAGTAGTAAACTCAAGAAGCAGGCAAAGTTCCTTATGCAACGGCAAATACACATAACGATGTCTCCCTAGCGCTTCCAAAAGACCTAAAGTATAACATAACGTCTCTTTTGTTAAACAACTTACCCCAAGTAAGAACTACTGTGTACTGCATGAACCTGACGTTCAAATTAGTTCAAATACTATTAATCGACCTTCAACATTTTAAACTAACCCAATAACCAATGCCTTAATTGCGAGTTAGCATGAACCAGATTATTCAATTAATTGCTGTAGCAATATGAATTACCGAAAATGCAAAAGTAACAACCGTATGAGACGGAAAAGAGATAAATAAGTAGAAACATTCTGAATATAGTAATACGAAGAACGGTAGTATTGCTAGGTAAGTTACTAGCAGTCATCTGTCCCGTTTTCCATGATGGACCTGGAAGAGTATTCTCTCATGCTGTCAGATCATTGACGACGACAGAAAGAAACTATAGTCAAATTGAGAAAGTAGATTTAGCAATTATCCTTTCAGTAAAAACTT